CGCTTTTGGGAACAGAGATTTCGAAGAAGAAATGTCTTGAAAAGCTCAAACGCATTTTAAATTAACTAGAATACATTATTATAATTTACAAACATTAAAGGCGACGGCGATCATTCGTTACGATGAATATTCTATCAGCAATATTTATAAATTGTTTCCTTGAGCCTTAAAGAGTTAACGCGTCAGCGAATCTGATGAGAATTTTCTCCGACTCCGCGGTATAAATTAATTTCTGGTTAGAAGTAAGTATCTGGAAACGTTCCTTGACAATGCAGAACGGTAATAGATACGTGTAACTGCATATAAAAGATAAGACTGATTTGTTATTCCGTTGTTCGAGTGGAAGGAATTTTTAATGTATTCATTGACGAACGACGCGTCGAACGTCACTGGCGGAATTCGAGCCTCGCGAAACATGTCTCCGTGGCGCAATTCGCGAACAACCAGCGCAGAAAGTCAACTCACGTTCCGTCCGTTATGTAATCCACGGATTATAAACAATTGATTTAGCCAACAATGACGTCGCGCCGCTAACGTAGCTTATTGTCTGTCGTACACCTTGCCATTGCATTTTGCGAGCCTCCGACTTTTCCACTGGCGTGTGACGTTTAGCAATCGCTGACCGTGACACTGTGTAACACTTCGATCGGCTCGATCCGATTCAATTCGATCACGATCGTTTCGTCCTATCGACGTTGGCGCATTTAAGGAACCGATAAATAGCAAAGAGTAAGGTCAAACAAGTATCTTCTCCTCTACGTTCCTTTTAATCGAGGAAAAATCGATGAAAAGCGAGTGGTTCGCGACCATGAGAAATAATTAAGTAATTAGAATTCTCATTTTCATAGATTATTGGGTAAAACATTCGAATAAGGAACACATTTCTTTCGGCGAGCGCATGATTCTTTGTGATAAAAATTAATTCGCTCATGCCGCGAAGACGTAAAAATTCACAGTCTAATAACAAGAGTTCCAGAAAGAAGTTAATACTATTATAACTAATGTGCATGGTTAGTTAGCTACTTTTAATGAAGGCGGCACCTGAATTCATGTAATCAGAGATAATATAATTGATTATATACATACAACCGGTGCCGTCGAGCTGCTCGTTTTTTCCCCTCCGTCGAAACAGTTCGTTCGTAACAGAAGCAATTTTCGAGGGTATTCTCAAATTACATTGCTTTCGGAGCAATAACAAATCCGTTTTTCAGGAATGGAATTATACGTTTTTGTCTGAACGAACCCGGGCCTCGGAGAGCTTATTAATATCTATGAAATTATTCCCATTCCAATTTGATTACTTC